TCTGCTGCTCCAAAACACTGTTTTGGCTGCTCCAAAAGCCACTTTTGCTGCTCCAAAACACTGTCTTGGCTGCTGCAAAGGCCACTTTTGCTGCTCCAAAACACTGTTTTGGCTGCTCCGAAAGGTGCTCCAAAACGGGGTTAGGCCAATCGCATCACCGCAGTTGTGAAACCTTCAAGGTAATAGTGAAAAAAAGATATTATGTAAGGCCTGTTTACACATACAACCACAGCTCTACATTAGGGCTATTAGTCAAGACCTGGGAATACAGTATAGACCGCATATAACGTAAAACGCGGGAGTCGCGAAAATCTGCACTATAAGCGGTACCGCGTTATAACGAAAACATCAATTTTTCAGGCCAAAATACATGCCATGAGACAACTTACCTTAAAAAAAAAAAATTTATTTTATGTTAGTCGAAGAGGAGTCTTTATTTCACCAGACTAGTACACTTCTCTTTTAAGTGTGTCAATTTTGAAAGAAATGAGCGACTTTTGCCTGGCGCAGCCTTTTAACGGCGTCGCTGGTTGCGGACGGACGTTGCAAGCGTTAGGATTGCTAACCCTAATCACTTTTTTCCGGTGATGAAGACGCGTGAAAATTCGCATCCTTTATACGGTACGCGCCAGTAATACCTTCAACTTTAGCACAGGCGTGAAATGCTCCAGATAAGAAATCCGGGCGATGTTCAAAAACACAAATGCTTAGAAAGCACCACTGTAGTCGAAGTAAACAAACACAACAACACGGGCGTTTCTGCCGTCTTGAGAGTGCCGCCACGACATCGCCGCACGAGTAGGTGGATCTCCCCTTCTAGTACGTGCTGGGTTATCATAGCGGCACACAACGAAAATTCACAGTCAAGGATAGTGCTTTTGCGTGGAACGATCGCAACCGACGCCATGTTTGCGGATAGAAGCCGGCCCGCGACTGACATGCAACGCGCTCTAACAGTTCTCCCCAACCTGCAATTGGTCTGTCGTTGCGGTTGTTTCCAACGCACGCACGTGAACGACACGTGCGTGCGTCCCTTCGTCGGTATGGCAACTGAAGCCTCTCTCTTCGCTTCTTGGAGCCACGACTTCGAGCAACCTCTTTGCCCCGCGAGTGCCGCTTGCGGCTAGCCAGGCTAGCGCCATTATCTAGTGTCGCACAGGGAAGCGTGCTGGCTGCGCAGGGCAATCGGCGCGCTGTTCCAGAAACCGCACTATAACCAGTATTTCCCTTCGCGCCTGCATTTTAAGTGGTATGTAATTACATGGAGTTCTATGGGAGGCGAACCGGTGGTTTAAAAAAGTCGCGTTATACCCGGTCCTGCACTATAAGTGGTTACGTTATAAGTGGTCTATACTGTAATGCTGATCTTGTTTATGCAGTCTTACATTTGTCCTACACCAGTGATACAGTGGTGAATTAGTGCTAAATTAGGTTCATCAGCTCTGTGCTGTACATGTGTACCAGCCTCTAAAAAAAATTTTTTTTGTTCATGTTAAATTTGTTTTTTACCTGCGTGTCCCTCCTACATTTTCTTTTTTGAAGGTCCCTTTTAAGTTAAAGGGACACTGACAGCCCCCAAAATTTTTTTTTATTTTTTGCCAGGCGCTTCATTATGGTGTCGGAGGACTACTCAATTAATATTTTGCAACAGAGTAGCGTATTTGTTTAATATAGCCAAAAGACGCAACTGCTCGAAATCGAAACCGAAACCCGACGGAGGTCGGAGAAGTGGAGAGAAGAGAGTGAGTGGCGGAAGTCACGTGGCTACACCCGACCGTGCGTTTTTGTTTTTGTTTTCTCCTCTCCATAGCAGACGACACGACATGCGGTGTGCTATGCGGCGTGCGGGAACTGCTCGCCGTGCGATTCTTTTGCAGTTATGTTTGTTCCGCTCGTTGTTTTGTACTCCAAGATGAGTTGTTTTGTACATTGAGGAGTTGGAGGATGAGTAGTAGGTGCCCGTGGTGAATTTCCATGATCGGCTCCGAAAAGAATACACCCAAGATGTTGCGTGAAGAGCTGGCTCACATGTCCTGCATCCGAAAAAAAGTGGCATTGTGCGACAGAGTTTCCGAAAGATCAACGGGATCGGGACCAATGGCTGGCTGCAATTCCTGTAGAACATATACGGGCACCTCGGAAAGCGGACGCTACCTGATTTATATGCTCCTCGTATTTTGTGGAAAGTGATTACATTGAGTTCGCAGGTGTCAAAACGGAAATCCCATACCATTTAATTCAGCGAAGTATCGTCCACAACTTTTGTTTGTTTCTTCAGTGATGATTGTAAAAAAAAAAAGAAAAAGATATGTAAACATCGGAAAATGTTAAAAAAAAAAAAAAAATAGAGCTACACGAGGGATCGATCCCAGACCTAACGCGTGTGAACCGGACGTCTTTCCCACTGAGCTACTGGCACATCTCACTTCTGGTGGATCTCTTTTCTTAGTAATAATTCAGCCGGTAAACTGTAAGTTGGAAAGTTTGCTGTCGATTTTTCTCTAGCAAAAGCACTCCCGGGTCGAAGTCGGGAAGCACCACGCTTTGGGGACATTCGCACGTAGTAAAGAAATCGTACGCGTGCATATTCAACTCGAAGTAGACACGTCGTGCTTGACGTTTGCGCGAGCGATGTCTTCAGCCACGAGAAGGGAGCGACGGCTCGGCGACGTCTTCGTGCAAATCTGCTTGGTGGCCGGGCGTGTCGTACGGGATGAATACCAATTCTTTTGATCAGTCCCAAATTTCTCTTTTAACGGTAGACAGAATTCGCCGGTACCGCAAACGACAGTTCTGAAATAGAGGTCCCATGCCCGTCGTCCGCTGCCATCGCCGTCCCCGCGAGTCCCACGATACGCGAAACGACGAACGCACAGAATGCTTCCGGTTGTCTGTGGAACTTTTTTTATCAATCAACGTATTTACAGCTTTTTAGAAGCCACAAAAAATGGGTTTCATATTTTTTTTCTATTTTTAATATTGAGTGTGTGCCTTCAGTGACCCACGACTTTGATTAAATTTGGTGGTCGCATCGATACCTTAGAAAACGGCCCGTGACCGCGGAAAGGAGAGTGAGCGAGACTCGAACCGGCCAGTTCTTGATCGGCGGTTTTCGGGCGGAAAGAAACCGAATTTTGAGCCGCAAATTCTGTTCTGGGTAGTTGAGCTCTCATATGTCACGTACAACTAAAAACCTTGGCGAGCATAAATACCCTGTCAGTGTCCCTTTAAAAAATAAAAAAAGTGTGCGAGGAAAGGCGGTCACTCTTTGCAGAGAAGCACTGGTATATGCGTGGTAAGACGCGATTACACGACTGGGGCTTCTACTTTTTTGTGGCTTGTACGTTTTGAGTTTCCTTTGCCCAAAGAATGTTTTCCACTCTTTTCGTGCCAGACAAGAACACACTTTCCCAAGGCAATTGATGCCCCTACATTCTTTATTTTTTGTAGGGACAGCAGGTTTGGTGACGCAGAACACTCTAAACCAATCTCTGATAAGACTCAGGTCTTAGTGTAAAGAAATATTTTCTCCCAAATTGGCACTCCTTTTCTGAGAGAGTAATTTTTTTCCTGCCAAACATTCCATAATGCACTTTGTAGAATTACTCACTTATTCCCTTCGCTCTGCGATAACTCACGCTTGAGAGCCCCCTCGACAAAAATATAGATCCGGACCCACGGATATCCGCGCCTGTAGCCCATGACATCTGCATCCAATTCACAATCCGCCAAATCTAATTTATTTTTATCGGCACCTGCCAGTTCACTGGGCATAACCGTGGGTAGTTCTTGGGCATTTGGCGCATCCGCAGTGCTTTACTCATGAAACTTCAGTACCCCCCCCCTCCCCCTTGGAAGTTTAGACCGTATGCAGTGGAACATTCATTATACAACATTTATGGGAACGCGCGAAAGTGTCAAATAATGAACCCGGAGTCGTATTACCCAAAACGACAATAATTACAGCACTTTGACAAACCTGCGCTAAATTATAGTAAAATGCAGGACGTTGAATAAACTGGAAATGCATAATCAAGGTTCCACTCGATATGCAGTTTTATGGGCAATTTTATTTTGCCTATTACTGGTGCGATGACTTACACCAGAACATGCACACATACTGTAAGTGGAAAGTAGCGTATTATTACACAGCGTACTCTGCTAATTAATATTGGGAGGGGTGAGTGGGGACGTAAATTATTTTTGGCTGTGCTACTGTACCTCTTTACAAGATCTAGTGTGCCTTGTGTGGACTTTCAGAAAATGGGTCTATTGATGCAGCAATGCAATTGGAACCGTTCAATATTTTTTGGTGTTATAGGGACTGGATCTGTTTATGTTATGCCTCTGTGGTTGCAGCCTGTAGAAGGGGGTGGATGCAAGCTGAGTGATATAGCCCTCAATATGATAGAGATTCAAGTTTTAGGGCTGTAGGCTGTGGAATAAGCATTGCCAAAAAACCTCAAACGAGGAAAATGACTTTAGCGTTGACAAGGAGGCTGTCATGTTACTAACATGCTGCGCAATGATACGTAAGGTGGAGCAAGCTGCATGGCTCGGACAACCTGAAATTGTGCAATGTCTCTTAAGAGTGAGCTCCTGTGATTAATTTCAACCAGACGAGACATATATATGTACCTAGCAGAGCTTGCATTCAAATTTGCCACTTGACAGAGGCACGTGATTGTTTATGTCGTTTGCACGGAAATTGACTGAATATCATATTCAATCTTGGTTCGTACATAACATGCTTAACTGCATGAAGCAAGTGATAGATGTAAGGGACATACTTTAAACCTACTTTAGGTGGACAACATCTCTGTACAGCATCTGCTCTCTTCCCCATATTACAACTAATGCACAGAGTATATAGAATGTGCACTAAAGCACAGGTTACATTGATATTCTTGACAGGCATTAGATACCCAGAAGTTTGATTTTTTTCTTTGGTGTTCTGCGTGCAGGCAATTAATTGTGTGTTTTTTTGTTTTTTTTTCTAGAAGCCGTGGTCGCAAGGCACCCATGACATTGAAGTCTTCCAAACAAGGCACTATGAAGGCATGACTTGTAGCGGCACTGGAGCAAGCGACACGGTCCGGGTGAGCCGCAAGTGTAACTGTTACACTGTAAACAGGAAATATAGACATGTGTCCGACAAAGCACAGACTCATAAAACTTTCATGTAGCAATAATAGTTTAATTTAACTAAACAGTGCATCAACAGAGCCTGACCCAAGAATGGGGAATTGGGGAACCGGCCAATGTGTAGAGTCTAACAGAAACAAGGAAGGCGATAAAAACAAATGGGGCAACATGTTAAGATAGGACAATAATGTCGTGCCTATTTTTTGTTTTCAATTAAGATTTTATAGGAGCTAGCAAAATATGTCCTTGCAATGGAATAGACCTACTTTTACAAAAAGACCTTCAATGTTTTTGTTAAAATAAATTGCGTCTGAGGAGGTGGAAATATGATTTTCCCAATTGCGCATTAACATATCTTCGAGCTCCACAGGGTAATAAAACTTCCCGAAACGTAAATATTTTTATGCATGCTCAGAAGTTTTTTTAAATATAGAAAAAGTCAAACAATTTTTTTGTGAGAATTCAAAGATATTGTCATCCTCTTTTTTTTTCATTTTCGTTATTGAACACTTAGAAACATGTAATTCAGAATCCACCACCAAGACCTGTTGTATTCTATTGTCTTAAAATAAAGAAATAACGGTTTTGCCGAGTCTGTTGCAGTCAATTTCTGTTGGAATTGCTGTGTCTCAACAACTAGTGGTTACTCGAGCACCGTATCCACAGTGGCCATAGTTGGTCGCATTATCTCCCAGGCACCACAAAGCATCATACAAAAAAATGTTTTTTTATTTATATTTTTTTTATCTGTGATGTGTCTGGTAGTGCCTATGGAAACTGAACTTTGTGGTGCATCAGTCCTCGGGGTGCTGTGCTTGGTTGATTGCTCTCAACTGTGCTAATTTCTCGAAGTAGTATTTTAGTGCATGTAGGGAGTTGACAAAATGATTCAAATAATTTATCTAGAAGTCACTATACTCCGTTTGTAAGTGCAATGGATTGTAGCGGCCGTTGCCAGCTGTCTCGGGCAACTTAGCGCATCAAGTGACAACGCATCACAGCGCCTCTCTCCGAGGTCACTACATTGAGTTGACTTGTGTGGCCTGTAGCATGGCCTGTGTTGTATTGTAAGGTATAACGAACATATGAACAGGAAACATTATGAATTTTAAGCCCCAATTGATGGCGGGCATGGCGAGGGTAAAACAATAGCAGGCTGTGTCTAAAAAGAAAATGATAAATGGACGAAGAAGCAGAAAGCTAGGCAGTGTCATTGGAGCAACATCATGCCTTCGCGCAAGTGGTGACTCTGGTATTTGTAATACCGTTGCACACTGGCTGATGTTTACACCACACAACTGAAGGCTGAACTCTCTTAACACCATGGTATTGGGTCATTTCAGATGAAACTGAGTAGTAGGTAAATGGTTGACATTTTTTTATTTGCTTGATATTTTATATGTCATTCCCTAAATTATAGTTTACACCAGTTCATATTTACAAACTGTAGCGCCACTGGCGCCGCGCATGCGCGATGGAGTGTGGGCGAGAAGCTCGCCGTCGCCCATAAACAAACCATTGGAATGCGATGTTGTCGTTGTCGGTGTGAGTCCCCCTGCCCTTTTTGGCGTTCGAATTGGTGATTCTACGTCGTTTTTGCGATGCCTGACTACTTGAGCGGCCTCAGGGAGATTACCGAGGCTCGTTGCACCGCAAAACTTCGCGTGAATAATGTGGCATGCGGCGATTCATTCCGCGTGGACGCCGCAGAATGTACGCTAAAGCCTGATTCGCATGATGAGATTTCGCTCGCAATTTTCAGTCGCGAAGTCACTCGGGCTGCAACAGCGTGAACCGTAGCTGAGATGGTCGACGCCGATACTGAAAATCGCAAGCAGAATCGGACCAAGTGAATTAGGCATAACAAGTTGGTGATGGCCACTGGTAACAATGATGAACATCTTTTTGTATCTACTGTTTACATGAAGCCTGCTTACCAAGTTTCAAATTTAAGTCTTTTGAGGGCTGCACTTACTTCTTATCGCAAGTACGGCATCAACATTTGATGTTCGGGCCGGTGTCTTCTAAAAGAGCAGACAAGCAGAATTGTCTGAGACAGCAGACGATAGTTCGAATGATCAGGCGGCCGTTTGAACTTGAAGACGCACTGAACATAGTCATTATACAATGGTCGGTACAACATGACGGTTTTTTGGCATTCATGTGGGAACAAAAGAATAAATTGATGACCACCAGTATTCGTGAATTCAACCCGAAGTGCTTCCCGCCCAAGCAGATGTGGTCCGACGGCATCTGGTTTTCCCTTTTCACGGCACATATCCACGTTCTCGGACGAACCGAGCACATGAAAACTAACCTTCAAACCTTTCTAGACTCTTTTAGTACAGCCCCAGTCGTGATGTTTTGACGAGAAAGCGGGTTTTTGTCAGGTTCCTTTCAAAACAACGCAGGAATACACGTCTCGCACGGGGACTTCCGCCCACAGCCCCAGACCGGAATTGTGCCCGAAGCGCCACCACCGCACTGTGACGTAACAGATATGAGTTTGTGTATGAAGGAATACAAAAAACACTTTTGGATAAAAAACTAAATTTCTAGACACAAAAAGGTGTAGATTATGAAAAGCTAGGTTGTCACTTGCATTCACGAGCATGACTGATGTGATCAAGTTTGATGTGAATACCTTAAGTAATAGTTTTAGGCAATTATAGGCTAGAGTACCCAAAAGCCTTGCGGAAGCAAAAATAGCGTCGTCACCAGTGCGCATGTGCCAAGCCTAGACCTTGTCTGGATTGGCGCATTACGACGATGCCATTTCTTTGAAACGCACAAATTTGGACACATTCTAAAACTTGCAATTAGAAGTTCATTAATTTTGAGAAACAATGTCTGGGTTAGGCAAAAGAGGCCTTGAGAACATACGTTCATCATTCATGCTCCTTTTTTTTTTTTCATACTTTATATTGAATACAAAATATTTGCATATAACGAGCAGATTTAAAAATCCTCTTGACTAGAATATCTGCAACAAATTTCTTGTTCAGATGCCGCAGTTTATAAATATGAGTTACGTATTAAAATAAGGACTTAGGAGAGTACAAGTGAAATCTCGGCAGCAACCTGCAGGGTTTCTATTTAAGTATCGTACAGTAGTGGAAGGCTTGTAAAAACTATAACAATATTAAATTCAAAACTATTCAACAGAAAAAAATATTCACTTTAAATTCGTTTTGAACTCAAAATCCACTATACGTCAAACTCGTTTACATCAAACTCGCAAGAAAACGTCTGCCAGTTCGATATAGCGGGTTATTCAATTAGAAGTATGTATTAATGAATTTGACTCTCAAAAATCCACTTTCTGCTGAAATATTACACAATGAAATAGTCTTGCATCTTCTGCTGCTTTTTCTTCATTGCATCCGCAATAACAATATTTTTCTACGCTATCGATGGACTCCGAAATTTAGGCCGCTGCCTTCTATATTCGCACATTAGGGCCGAACTATGCCGAGAGCACGGAGCACGTCTGAGCAGTAGCACCTGCAGAGCTTCCGTTTCGCTTTGCAAGTTGGCTTTCCCCTAAGGCAGGCAGCTGCGTTGGGGGAAAGCCAGCTAGCAGAGCAAGCTGGCTTTTTTTTTTCCGGGCGGCCGCCTCAACCTTCTCGGAAGAAAAGGCAGTATTCTCTTTTGTGGACGGAGTGGGAAGAGGAACCATGGAGCGCCCTCCCCCTGCTCCCTGCGCAAAAGAGATTTTTTTTTTTTTGTTCCGGGCGGTCGACCAACACCTCCCAGAAGAGAAGGCCGTAGCGCTCCTCTCGTGACGTCGCAAATGAAGGCCATCGGGGGCGCACGTCGAAGCGAAGGCAACGCGCGTGGGTCGATTGTTGTAATGCGGTTTTAGTCACATAAGCGTGATTTGTTAGCTAAAATGAAAGCTGCCCATAACAATGGGTCTAGAAAAGATTGTATTTCACGGGCAAAGCATTACATCGCTAAATAATCGGTACAAAATGGCACGAAGTATGCGTATAAGACGCCTATACAAAGTGATTGTTTTAAGTTGAAAACATTGAGTCACGCAATTGTTGTAGGAATGCATAATTTATACAGAAACGCTTCAACAAAATTGTGAGACACGCAGTGAGTGGACACAGCAAAACAGATCAGTTAAAGATCAGGTGGACGTAGTCAACGTGGACACAGCTAGAGAAGGGTCACTTACAATCATGTAAACAAAATATAACTTCTTTTGTATACAATAATACTATTGCCGTAATACAGTTAAGGTCCTGGTATAAATGTGGTAAAGGCAATAAAATGACATTAGTATCAGCAAACACGAAACCACAAAAAATGCATTTTGTATGATCGCACAAACTTGTCATTCACCTTCCAGTGAAAACTAGAATGTTACAACGCATATTTACAAATGTCGACGCCACTGTACACGGATAGCGACAAAGAACAAAATTCCACTCTATCACAAAATTTTAAAAGAAAGACTGCAGCACTTACTTGCGTCCCACATGACCAAGAAAGCCCGTAAATAAGTTGTTTCTCACCTGTCGATCGTATCCATATGTCCCACAATATCTGGCACGAAAACATTTGAAGACAAGCTCCAAGAAGTCCCTCTTAGTCGAGATCTCGAGAGGTCTATCGATAATCAACCAGTGTCATTGTTGGCTAGTTTCCACACACGTCACTCAAACAGTAGCAGGACTTGTTCCGCGAATCCACGTAAATGCCGTAGTATCAAGCGAACACAAAAACTACCCGAGACTGCGGTGACGACATAAAAACGTCGGGAACAAGGATCAAAAGAACCTCACACGAGAGCAGCGGAGCAGTGTGGGAGGCTTAACGTTGTCGGCCCATCTCTTGCTCGTGTGCGCTCCCCGCGGCGATGACTTGATTTTTTTCCATTCTCTTCCCTTCTGAAAGTCCCAGCGTTCCTTTTCAGACAGTCTGCAGCTCGCACACAACATACATTTACCAGAATCGGAGCCGTTGGAGGGAAGATGAAAATGTCTCACCGAACTGGTTCATTCGAAAGTTGTGGGGAGCTGCGGGACTGCACATAGTCCCGCGGTTATAGGGGTAATCATGAATATAAAATTGGTACTTTCAACCTTGGTAGCACATTGTATATTACATTTATATTATATATATATAATAAATTGTACAAGACAGCACTTTTAAGACATATTAATGTCGGATAAACGCGCACAAACCCCACCGTGCCGCTTGACAAGAAAAATGTTTTTCACGACGATGTGATATTTTTTTTTTATGTAGTTGCACCATGGCCTTCCTTCTCCGACATTGTGATGTAACCACTCGGAGCGCTACGGCCTTCTTTCTTAGAGGTGTTAAGTCAATGCGTCCGCCCACAAAAAAGAAGCCAGCGTGCTCTTCAAGCTGGCTTTCCCCCAATGCGGCCGCAAACATTGGGGGAAAGCAAGCTTGCAGAGCAAAACGGCACTCTTGGCAGTTC